AAGAATTCGAGGCCATGGTTAAATTGGGGATTGCTCGTCCTTCTAAGAGTCCCTGGGCATCATTTTACTGCTTGACATTTATTTAAAAAAATTTTCAGTTTTTTGCAGGTAACTTATGATCTCCAAAAAATATCAAAAACTTTTTGAGAGATAAATTATAGAAAATTAAATTCTCTACAAAAAATGTGTCATAAAATTTTCCCATAAAGTTGATGGTTGCGTCGGAAATTAAGAAAAATGTAAAAATTTTAAACCAATCCAACTTTAACGTTAAATAACTTTTGAAAAAATGAATATATCAAAACACTGTAAGAGACCTTTTTTGTAGAGCGTTAAATTTTGTATAAAAATTTGTTTTGATCATTTTAAAATATTAACTCTAACGAGAGTTAAAAAATTCCAAAATCCAAGAGAACGTCGTTCCCATGTTATTTAAATGGGAAACTGAAATTTAGGATGCGGCACCTCTTAATATTAATATTAAGAGCTCTAACTTTCACAGTATTTTTTTTTACCATTTTCAACAAGATTTTCGATATAATTAAGAAAAAAAAAACATCGATTTTTTTGAAACAGTCTACTGTCCATAAAAAGAGATTAAAATAATACCTACCAAAGTTTCCATGTAGCTCGCTAAAATTCGAAAACAATATTCAAAATAATGATCCTTAATATTACAATAATCGATTATCAGTCGTGATATTTCTCATCTCGCCTTCTTCATTAGGATTGGAAATATGGTCCTGACCTAAATAGGTCACGAGGGACTTGCTCGCCTGGCGATTATGGGTTTAAAACAAATTAGAATGCAAATGAAAATGAAGGCACGAAAAAGTGGTTGTAAATAAAATACAGTTGTATTGATGGTTAATTTACTGACCAACTTTATTAACCAACCAATCTATGACTATTTTGAAGTACGTAATGGAATATGACGTACAATGCCATGAATAATTAAGGTTACTTATATTTCTTTTGGCGCACTGAAAGTAAATTGTCAAGAGATTAGACAGAGAAGTGAAAACATTACTCTAAACGAATAGCTCTGAAAAACGTCACGATTAACAAAGGTTAGAAAAATTCAAAGGTCTGCTGCGCAATGAGCGACCGCGCATCTATTCCGTCATTGTCAATTGTCAAAATTGATCAAAATCTTCTTGCCTATAGGTACTTTTATTGAAACTCATTCTAAAGTTATTTTCTTTACTAAAATTATGGTTAGTTATAACACTAAGTTGGAAGAATTCAGTACTACATTTTTTATTAGTAAAGGATTTCTTATGTTCTCTAAGTCTGGTTTTACTTGTTTGTCCTATATACTTATACGTTTATTACGTTTATCCCCTGTTTGGTGCATTTATACATATAAACAAAAGGGCCGTTTCTAAATGGAAAAATCAAACAAAATTAATCACGAATTTGTCGATCATTAACAATATTTTAAGCAACAATACATCTTCCACATTTTTTTAATTGCCTCTGAAGTTAATGTCAATAGAAGAACATGTATGTATTCATACGATTACACATACATGAAAGCTCTTGATTATGCAATGCTCCAACGTTATTCGTATCAAGGCAGATATGCCGCGCTATATAATTAAAATCTTTTCAAATTGTTTCCCTTTGTGAGAGCGGATTGTGGGATTGTCTACGATTATGTTTCCTTTTTGTACAGCTTTCAAGGAATACTACCGCTATCTCAAACCTAACGTTCTTTTGTTATCATAGATGTCTTTCTTTGTTATAGAACTTTTCATGACTCTGTTATTAATCAATCATTTTAGCTTAAGAATAAATGAAATATAATTTTCTGATATTTCTGATTTGAAAAGCAAGAAATTATTTTTTTTTTTATTCAAAGTAGTGTTGAAATTCTATTGTTGTTTAAGAAAAATCACCCTAAATTTCAAAAATCATTTAATTGTTCATAATAAAGTTAAAGAAATAGTGAAATTTGAGTTAAAATGAGACAATTTAGCCCGCACTTGAATCTCGGGTTAGCAACACCAAACTAACAAAAAAATATTGGAGTTACAGATAATATAAGATAATATAATTACTTTCTTTTCTCATTTGTCTTAATTTTATCTAAAGATCTTCAAACATCAACGGCATTTATAATTAGACTAATTACTATAAATCTATCGAAGGATTATTTAAGATCGAAGTCGTTTTTTTTATTCTTTAGCAACAATGCCAGTCAATAGTCTGCAAGATGATTAATGATTTGTTGTTTCATTGACAGTAAGCCTTAATTTTTATATCGATTTCTCAATCTATGTTCTGCAATAACCAACTACACACACGTCTACAACTGTTTCTCAAGCAAGTAGGTAACAGTAACTGTATGTTTCTGTTTCAATTTGCTCGTTGTGTCTAGTAATTAAGTAATGCAATCTTTGATTAGCAGAAATTAAGTGGAATGCATGTTAGGGATTCTTTGGTGCGAGTAAAATTGTACAAAGGCTTAGGTAAATTCCACCAACGTAGAAAATTGATATTTTAGGGTTGCTTGTGGTAATATACATTCAATTCCACATCATAACTGCAGAAAAACAGGAATAAATGTAGTAGAACTGCCTTAATGCGTCGACTTTGCAACGGGGTATCTAATGTCTCTGTACAGTAACTACCTAGCAATTGGAGAATTTAAGGTTGACAGGTGTTTTAAATTGTCATTTTTATTACCCATTGAGCATTCCTTTTTCTCAATTAGTAGATAATCTCCTGATGGATTCAATTGGAGCGAAAGCGTTGTTAAATGCAGTCCTCAGTGTTCTGGAACTGTTATTGTAGGTAGTTATTAGAAAGGTAAACAACAAAATACAAATTATTTTGAGGTAAAAGGTACTTCTGCTTTAACAATACATATTTGTGTTTCTAGGAAGGTAATGTCCTTTTTAAAATAATTTCTTGAAATACTGAAACCAATTCTCTTATTTAACATACATGTGTAAAACAACAGTAA